GAATATCTTACTTAAAACCTTCTGTATTTTATGGAAGAATTAGAACTCCGGGGAAAGTGGAAAGTACTGTTGCTGGATTCCTATGGAATGTGGGTTCTCAGTATCTTTTGTATGTTTTTGAAAGCTTCTGTTCATTAGAGGGAACAAGAATTGACATTTTGGGGTCATTTTACTCTTTGCCATCTGTCACAAAGACTTTGACACAGGGACGGTACAGGCACGGTGTCAAGTTGGCAACATTTAGAGTATGATTGTTTTTTAAATCTGAAAAATTCAAAGTCCATATCTCAGTCTCATTTTCAACGGCCACATTTTTCTGGAAACTCTGCCTTTTGTCTTTTTGGCTTTTTTCCCCTTAGTCCCTGTGGCTCTTCCCCTGTGGTTTTTCCATTTGGGTTTTCTGCGCCTCAAATCTAACTGGGAAAAGTGGACAAAGAAGCCCAGGAGCGTGGCCTCCATAAGCACCACCCCCCCATTTGCAGTGGCTCTCCTGTGGGGCCCCTCCCTGGGGCCCAGCCTTGAACACTCAGCAGCCTGCTAGTCTTTATGCCAGGTGAGTTGTCCGAGGATCGTGTTGGAAAACAGAGAATATCGTTTGCTCTTCTGTGGTTGCACTTAAACCCTCATGACTGGCTGGTGAAGTTTCAGAGACAGGTTGGTGGTCTTAACCTTCAGCCTTGGAAGGCAGATTTATAAGGACTGACCCTCTGCTTCTGAGCACGGGCAGCGGCCACACAAAGATGGGATGAAGGCTTTGCCTGTATTATCCCACGGTCTCCTAGACTTCACGAGGAATCCCCTAAATTGGCGGCTTCCACTGTGACCCGGTCTTATAAGAAGCTAATTTGGTCCTTGAATTTTCCAATAGGAACCAGTGACTTACTTCCAATAGTCATCCTTGGTAATGTCAGTATGTCCCATTAATGTTACTCTGTTTCCTTCGTCCTACTGGCCCAGGAGTCTCTGCGGTCTTTGGACCCATGTGTACAGGGTGGGACGAAAGTAGATTCACAGCTGTGAGTACATGCAATGCCAAGTTCATTTCTGTATTATCATTTATTCATTCTTGTATTATTTTTCAAAAGAACAACTGTAAACCTACTTTTGGGCTACCTTGTATAGTAGATGGACTGAGAGAAATATTTTTAAGGCCTGTCAGTAAATGAATGGATAAAAAAATTATGGTACATATACACAATGGAATTCTATGCAGCGGCAAGAAAGAAGGAGCTCCTACCCTTTGCAACAACATGGATGGAACTGGAGAGCATTATGCTGAGTGAAATAAGTCAGGCGGTGAAAGACAAATACCATATGATCTCACCTTAACAGGAAGCTAAACAACAAAACGAACGAGCAAGCAAAATATAACCAAAGACACTGAAATAGAGAACAGGGGGACAGCAACCAGAGGGGAGAGAGGAGGGGATTTCAGGGGAAAAAGGGGAGGGATTTAGAGGAACTAGTGTAAAGGACACATGGACAACAGCTAAGGGGGTGGAAATGGGAGGGAGGTGGGGAGCACAGGGTGGGGTGGGCTGGGATGGGAGTAAAAGACAGAAAACTGTACTTGAAAAATCATTAAATGAAAGATAATAATAATCTGAAATAAAGTAACCATCCTAGTTTCTTACCCCGGTGAGTGGCCACTCCGTACATGTTTATCGGTTGTGATGCCGTGGTAATTACCATGTGGAATTTCATCGCCTTCACCACTCCATGAATTCCCCTTTCCCACCCCCACCTGCTCCCTTCGCATCACTGGTGAGCCCGGATCATGTCACTTTAGCTCATGGCGAGCAGAGCAGGCGCTTTCTGGGATCTGCTCGCGGGTTCCTCTGGCCATCGAGGCCTCCGACTCAGCTCCCAGGTTGGGTTTAGGGCACTTACGTGACTCTCAGCAACCGGAGGTGCAGAGAGCATCCCTGAGCCTTCTGACTCGACGCTCCCCTCCCTTGATTAGCTTCTCACGGAGTTGTGGTTAGGGGTCTGATCTTCACGGGTACTCGGTGACAAAGGAGTACCCGGGACCTGTGGCTCTCCAGTGGTCTTGGAACCGAGGTCACTATAGCTGAGAGGATAAAGGAAATCCACAAGTTGATCGGATGCTTGTCTATTTATATGTTTGTGGCCTAAATTTCTATCACTCTGTGATCAAAGTTAAATCCATCTGTCAGGCCAGTGACAGCCAGTGTTGGCCAGTGTTGCTGCTCTTCTTCTTGTGTTTGTTTCCCCCTAAAACAGCTACAGCAAAGGAAATGTATAAAAATAAGCCATGGTTGTGAACCAGGCACGCCATGGGCACAGGCCACTTGTGCCGTTGTGTGAGTTCCTAGTGAGAGTGGACCACGAAGAACTTGGGGGTGATGTGGATGAGAGACTAAATCACCCTGTGGAGCTGACATACCTCTTCATTCTCTGGAAAGGGTCATCCAAGGGCATCTCTTTCCTCCTTTGAAAGAGACCATACTTGCCCTGACTGGTGTGGCTCGGTGGGTGGGGCATCGTCCTGCAAAGGGAAAGGTCACCGATTTGATCCCGTCAGGGCACAAGCCTGGTTTGCAGGCCAGGTCCCTGGTGAGGGGTGTGCAAGAGGCAGCTGATTGGTGTTTCTCTCACACATGGATGTTTCGCTCCCTCTCTTTTTCCCTCCCTTCCCCTCTCTCTAAAATTAATAAATAAAATCTTAAAGAAATTATGACCACACAAACCTTTACCAAGCATGTGTGTTCTTCAAAGTCTGTGGGATGACCCAGACTTGTTTTATGGAGCAATTCTTAAATCAAACCCGCATTTCTTTGGAGATGCGTTGAATTGCTCAGGGCTTGGATGTGAGGCTTGTGGTCAGCTTGCGGGAATGTGGGGAAGGCAGGGCCAGAGGGCATGCCGAGTCCACGGATATGACCTGCCAAGGAACGAGGAAAGAGCGCAGCGGCCGATATCAGAGGCACCCTCTGGGGCGAGTTATTTGCATGAAATAAGCTTGCTCAGAAATAAACTGAGCAAGTAGGGGGATGGGGGGGGCGCCATGTTTTTTCCAGTGCTCACCCAGAACCAACAGTGGTTAGCACACAGGGATGGGCACCCAGCACCAGACTCCAAGAAGGTCAGATATGATTGCCACCACCAGACTTTTGGGGCCTGGGCCGTCTAGGACAGGGACCCCATTGTAGCAAGGGACGGAGAGTTAACACGGAGAAACCAGCCAGCCACCAGGAGCAGGACGCAAGTGGAGGTATATGTTGAGCACATGGATGACTGAGGTCATTTCTGGGGGTGGTGGACTGAGTGTTTGTGTCTCCCCTAAATTTGCATATTGAAGTCATCCCCAGTGTGCTCGTGAAGCACTCTGCTGGATTTGGAGGGGAGATGTTTTGGAGGTAATTAGATTTAGGTGAACTCGTGAAGGTGGGCATGCGGGATGCGGTCGGTGTCCCTGTAAGAAGAGACTAGAGCCCCTTCTTTCTCTCTGCCATGGGAGTACACAGGACAAGTAGCAGGCCACCTGCAAGCCAGGAAGAGCACCCTCACTAGGAATCAAATTAGCCATCACCTTGACCTTAGACTTTCAGCCCCCAGAATTATGAGAAAATTAATTTTATTTTATGAAGAAATCCTCTTGGTGATTTAAAGGTGCAGAAGTAATGATTAATCTTTTTGTTGTTGTTGTTCTACGAAAGTTTTAAATTATTTTTTAAAATATATTTTATTGATAATGCCATTACAGTTGTCCTATTTCCCCCCTTCATTCCCCTCCACCCTGCATACCCCTCCCCTGCCATTCTCCCCCTTGAGTTTATGACCATGTGTCTCAAGTTCTTTAGATTCTATATTTCCCATACTATTCTTCCCCTCCCCTCTACCTCTTTTCTACCTACTGTCTATGCTACTTATTCTCTATACCTTCTCCCCCCTTCTCCTCCCACTCCCCTGTTGCTAACCCTGCATGTGATCTTCATTTCTATGGTTCTGCTCCTGATCTAGCTGTCCTCTTAGTTTGCTTTTGTTTTAGGTGTGGTTCTTAGTAACTGTGAGTTTGCTGTCCTTTCACTGTTCATCTTCTTCTTTATCTTCTTTTTCTTAGGTAAGTCCCTTTAACATTTCATATAATAAGGGCTTGGTGATGACGAACTCCTTGAATTTGATCTTATCTGAGAAGCACTTTATCTGTCCTTCCATTCTAAATGAAAGCTTTGCTGGATAGAGCAATCTTGGATGTAGGTCTTTGGATTTCATGACTTGGAATGCTTCTTTCCAGCCCCTTCTTGCCTGTAAGGTCTCTTTTGAGAAATCAGCTGACAGTCTGATGGGAACTCCTTTGTAGGTGACTGTCCCCTTATCTCTTGCTGCTTCTAGAATTCTTTCATTTGAATCTTGGCTAATGTAATGATGATGTGCCTTGGTGTGTTTCTTCTTGGGTCCAACTTCTTTGGGACTCTTTGAGCTTTCTGGATTTCCTGGAAGTCTATTTCCTTTGCCAGACTGGGGAAATTCTCCTTTATTATTTGTTCAAATAAGTTTTCCACTCGTGGCTGTTCCTCTTCCCCTTCTGGTACCCCTATAATTCTGATGTTGGAACGTTTAAAGGTGTCCTGGAGGTTCCTAAGCCTCTCCTCATTTTTTCGAATTCTTGTTTCTTCATCTTTTTCTATTTGGTCATTTTTTTTCTCCTTCTGGTCCACTCCTTTGATTTGAGTCCCAGTTTCCTGTGCATTTCCATTCATTTCAATTAGTTTAGCCTTCATATGTTCCTCTAATTTGTGACTAAAATCAACCAGTTCTGTGAGCATCCTGATCACCAGTGTTTTGAACTGTGCATCTGAAAGTTTGGCAATTTCTTGATTGCTTACATTTATTGGCTCTGGGGCTCTGAGTTGTTCTTGAGTCATGTTTTGATCTGTTCATGCCTCAGTAGTGATTAATCTTTAACATAAAAAAGAAACAGGTGAGCTGAGTGGAGCCAGGGACTTGATTGGAGGCTGAATTTGGGATCTGCCAAGATGGCCAGGCTGCTCCATGGGATTACCAAGGAAACCCAGCGTTTGCTGGCAGAACCAGTTCCTGGCATTAAAGCAGAACCAGATGGGAGCAATGCTGGTCATTTTCATGGGGTCATTGCTGGCCCCCAGGATTCCCCCTTTGAGGGAGGGGCTTTTAAACTTGAACTATTTCTTCTAGAAACATACCCAATGGCAGTGCCTAAAGTGCACTTCATGACCGAAATGGATCATCCTACTAGAGACAAGGTGGGAAGCATATGTGTAGATATTTTGAAAGGTAAGTGGTCCCCGCCGCTGCAGATCCGCACAGTTCTGCCCTCCAGCCAGGCTTTGGGAAGTGCTCCCAGTCCAGACGGTCCTTCAGCACGTGAGGCAGCAGAGGAGTGGGAGGCCAATGAAGCCCAAGCCGTGGAAACAGCTGGAGCCTGGGCCAGGCCATGTGCCATGAATAATATTTCCATCCATCTGATCATCGAGTGTACATCACTTCTGCTGTTCTGCCAAGACTTTTTCCTTTTCTGTTGATATTTAACAGACACAGTGTTAGAAACATTACAAAATCAAAGCCCGACATCTCCAGTCCTTTGATGATTAAATGCACATCGGCAGATCTAAAAAGAAAAAGAAAAAAAACGGTGATGTAGATGTTGCTGAGATAAAAAGCAAAAGTGGCGATCAGTCAGAAAAACAGCAAACACACATTACTCAATTTTCCTGGGTTATTCCTGGAACTCTGTTGATAAATATTGGGAGAATATTTATATTCTTGTTTACAGAACCCACAGTTAAACTTTGGCTGCTGATTTGTCTTTTTTGAGGGTTAAGTCTTTCCAGAAGGTGTCTTCTCGCTCCTGAGTTAAATGCAAAAGTCTTCCGCCCAACTGAAGTTAAACTGCTTTTGGCCGACGTCAAAGTTGGATCTACCTCAAAGGAAATTCTATTTGGCTTCAAGGATCATTTGAACTTTCTCAAGATCAAGTGTCCCTTTTGGTGTTAATATCATTTGTGACATCTCGTTTCTCATTGGATGACTTTCTTGTGGTCATGCACCTCTGACCCGTAGCGTGTTATTCACAGAGCCCTGGCTCGGCGCCAAGGCGTAAAGGGGCTGAGAAACGTCACCCAGCCTGGCAGGACCACGTCCATCTTCAGAGGAGGCTGGCTGCTTGTGCTGGAGACAGATTGGTGAGAACCGTGGCCTGGGTGCCTTCAAATCCGTCACAGAGGAGCGTGACTGCTGACCCCAGCTCCAGGGACACTGTCGTCATTTTTGAGTCACACTTCAACATTCCTCTGCCTGTTTTGCTCACTTACTTTTTTGTAAATATTTTATTTATTTATTTTTAGAGCGGGAGAATGGAAGGAGAAAGTGGGAGAGAAACATCAATGCGTGGTTGCCTCTCATGTGTTCCCTACTGGTGACTTAGCCTGCAACCCAGGCGTGTGCTCTGACAGGGAATTGAACCAGCGACCCTTTGCTTCACAGGCCCGTGCTCAATCCACTGAACTATACCAGCCAGGGCTGCTCATTTATATTTTTATCAACAGACCTTCTTCTCTAATCCTTTCCTCTACCTCTTCTTCTACACTTAGGCCCTGGCTACGTAGCTCAGTTGTTTAGAGCATGTTCCCAATACACCAAAGTCATGGGTTCAATCCCCAGTCAGGGCACATACAAGAATCAACCAATGAATGTGTAGATGAGTGGAAGAACAAATCAATGGTTCTCTCTATTTTTCTTTCTTCCTCTCTCTCAAACAAAGAAATGAGTTAATTAAAATTAGTACAATTTAAAAGTCTGCACAACTGAAAGTTTGTCCCACAAATTTGTTTTCCAGTGTAGAGCTACAAGGTGAGATTATAAGGTACTGGGAGAACAGAAGACAGACGGCTGGGGTCATGGGGGCAGCTGCTTAGGTTCAATGTGACATCCAATGAACGAATAACTGCAGATGAAGAGCTGAGCCAATACAGGCCAGGCAGCATGCTCCCAGATTTTAATGATAACCTGGTGTCTTGCACAGACAGGAGACCTGCCTGGTCAGCCATCTGAAGGAGTTTCTAAACAAGGACTGAGAAACCCCTCTCATCCCTTTTTCTTACCACGGTTCGCTTGTAACTGTACCTACCAAACTAATGCTTGAGGATAAATGTTGGAAGAGTGGTCAGTCTGTTTTACTAGCCAGAGTAAAGACGTCCTCGTGTAGAACAAAACTGTGAGACCGCAATTCATGGGTCAGCCCAGGCAGTGGACGAAATAGGAAGCGAGTTTGGCTTTTGTCTCTGTTACCCACCAGACCCCGTTTCATTGTGAACGCTCACCGCGTCCGTCAAAATAGGTGTTTCTTTGAGTGGTTTTTGGGGGCACCACCTCTTCCCTAAAGCCTGTTGGAATTTGGTGTGTCTGCGGAACATGGAGACAGGAAGAAGAAAAGTATCGGGAAGTTTCAGAAATTCGTCTAGGACAAAACAGCCACCACATGAGCTCTAGAGAAGCTCCTTCTCCGAATGAAGAGGGATTCGGCTCTGTCTCATTCTGATCACAGTTATTTCCTTCCCCGTCCCTCTGCCCATGCAGCTCTGACTTTGGTTATTTAGACTAGGGAAAAACTATTGAGACCATTGAGGAAGATCTGTTCATCAGATTTGTTCCTTAAAATAGGGGGAACGAATGGGGGGAAAACCAACTATTTTTAAAGATTTTATTTATTTATTTATTTATTTATTTATTTATTTATTTATTTATTTATTCAGAGAGAGAGGAAGGGAGGAAGAGAGAGAGAAACACTGATGTGAGAGAGAAACATTGATCACTTGCCTCTCGCACACATCCCAACCTGGGACCGGTCCCTAACCCAGGCATGTGCCCTGACTAGGAATCGAACTGGCGATCTTTTACTTCGTGAGATGATGCTCAACCCACTGAGCCATATCAGTCAGGGAAAAACCATCTGTTTTTTTAAAGTGCACATCTGCTCCTGAGGTGGAGGGGTGTTAGCGTGGGCTTCCTGGGGCTCTCACGTGTCTAGGGTTCCAACACGCAAGGGGAGACCAGTTTGTAGCTCACCATCACTATGCTCAAAGTGAGGTGCAGACAGTCTAAGAACAATTATCTAAAAGAGGAAAGCAATTCGCTTTCCATATGGGATAATGGGGTTTCTGCTTTGTCAAATTTCCAGGAGCGTAAGACCTGCTGGATTCCAAATTTTGAAGAATAACTAGAAAGCCTTTCGCGTCCCCATCTGCCATTACTGTGCTTTTACTCTTGAAGTTACGTGCTATGAATTGTTACTTAATCGTGGCAGAATGAAGCTTTTCATCTCTATCCATGTTGATACCTGTGATACGTGATAGTGGGAACAGTGTAGAGGACAGGAAGAAAGGCACCCAGGTGACAGTATTGCTTGGTCATGTCAGTAACTGTATTATTAGCCACACTATTATCAATGTTGACAATATCCCCTGGTGTTAAACCCTAGAAACTTTCTATAGTGTCCTCGAGACTTTTGATCCCCCAAACGAATGACTTTACGTGCTAGACAATAACAACTCTGGTTTACAATTATGTATTATGAGACAGCTGATGGGTTGATTCCCGTCTGGAATGGATGGTGAAACGGAAGACCAAATAGCCTGAATGACTTGGTGGAGGTGTCCCGTTGGTGTCTGCTGGCGTCTCAGTATAAAAGTGATGCCGTGGACATGTAATCATTCAGCTGTTTTGCCCTGCTACCCCGTCCTTCTAGGTACCGCGTCCTTCCCTTCCACCCCACCCCACCCCACCCCACCCCACATTGGCTACACACCTGTCGCACCTTCCAGCTCAGTGCAGGGCTCCCCCTCGAGCGAACAGCTCTTCTATGGTCCATTTTTCTGCTGCATTCGCATTTGTTGTCTGCCACGCACAGCACTCTTTATTTTTCTACTGTCTTAGGTTTGACTTGTGGTCGATGCAAAATTTAGCCTTTCACAGATACTCTTGGTTTCTAATTACTGTGAAATATGCTTTATCTGCCTGCCTAGATTGTCCCGTGTTGGGGACAGAAACTTCAGCTTCTGCCTTTTTGTTCTCGCAGTGGTGAGTAAGGGAAGGCAGAGACTGGGGTGGTCTGTAATGTTTAGATTTTCTGTAGCCAACATTGTACCCCCAAATGGGGTTTGCAGTCCTGCTCTGCGTATGCCGGGGGTCCAGAGTCTACTGTTACGTGTTGTTGCAGAAACATTTATAGGAGTGCAAGGTAAGGGGGGAATTCAACTCCATTGTTCCTAAATAAATCCCACTATTGCCTAATGAAGTACTGTAGTTGCAATTTAAAGGCATTATACACACACACGTATATGTATATATGGGAAGTGTGTTGTCAATACTGAGAAACTTACCTCATGATCATTTTCAGTGCTCATTCACTTCATAAAAATATTCTTTAAATTATCTAGTCATAAGCTGCATTTTGTCTGTCGTATCCCAGGAAGAGGAACCAGCATGTGTGCGAGGCAGCTTTCTGACAAACGAATGCACCAGCAAACACTTCTGGCCGTGAACTTGGCGGTTTGCTCTGTAGCAGGTGTTCTCTTTCCGTGCATGCTCTTTCCCTCCTGTTCTCCTTCCTTATGATAAATAGTAGAGAGCAGGACGTATGTATTGAGTGCTTTCTGTTTGCCTGGGTCAAGACCAGGGCTTTGCTTGGAAACCAACTGCCTTAGCGAAAAGGGGCAGACCTTCCCATAAGAGTTCTTAGGAAGCAGACTGCAAATGAGGACTTTCCAGAACCAGCCTAAATTAGAATACGGTGCAAGAATCGATTGATGGTTGTCGCATTGCTTCTCTTCTCTTCGGTTGATTTTTACTGCGCTTTTGAAGGCAGGATGAGGCACCCCCGAATCCAAACTGTTGGAACACACGCTGAAGAAAATATTTGCATTTCATAAGGATTCCTTATTGCGTTAGATTTATCTTATTTCTTTAAAGCTAAGCTTTTGTAGTACATTCGAAACATGCTTAGATTTAGAGAAAGCAATTTCATCAACAAAATTATATACAAATGACCTTTGAGGAAACGTGCAATTGAGGGACACTAAAGCCTCCAGACCATTGCCTTCTAGAAGCTTCCCTGGAAGTTTCCTGAAGTCCTCCCAGCTCGTGCTTCTGTAGTAGGCAGGGGACTCCATGGTGGTCCACATTTCCTCACTGCCTGACCTATGACCTCCTACACCCCAAGCTCAGGCGTGGCATGTGGTTTGCTTTGGCAAATCGCATCTCAGTGGTGTGTATCTCAAACCACTTTTTAGTAGAAACATTTACTGTGATTGCAAAGTTTAGGCTGGCATCCTGTGACCCTGTGTTTTTGATGTGACTTGGTCTATCCAGACAGGAGCTGCTCTTTCAACCTTAATTTCCAAAAAAAAGAAGATGCTATAAGAGACCCCAACCTGCCCTGCATCCTTGACCACCAATCACTTACCTGTTTATTTAGTCATTAAATCTTGAGAAGATGCCTAAGTACTAGGGATACAGTGAGGAGCAA